GGGGTTGCAGGGCAGACGGAAGCCCTGGGTGGAGCGCACTTCAGTCGGAGAACTAAAGCACTCTTAGCAAGCCAGGGCTCAGAGATCACTAAGAAATGCTCTCTGGCTCAGGCTGCACACACAGGCCCCTGCCACAGCTGTAGAAAGCTATGCTGCTAGGGAGAAACTGAGGACCCTTGGAGAAGACAGGTGCAAGATTAGCGGCAGCATCTGAGGACTACTAACCACACAGAGGGGACAGACACACTGTTGGCTATGCACAAGGCTTCACAAGCCGAAGGGTTCAGGGTTTGAACCCTGCTGTGGCCCAGTGATTGGCAGATTGTGCTGCCACCAGGCGAGAGCAGCCCAGGCCCCTGGGTGTGGGGCACCAACTTCTGCCCCGTGTGAGCAAGTCCCTGTAGGGTGAGGGCACTGGGCAAAGAGGCCCCACTCTCTATGCCCACAGTAATGCCCCTTGAGGGTTTTTGGTGGCACTGACATGTTGGGTGAAATAAAATGAATAACACACTTTCCAGTAGTATTTTCTCTGGACAAGAGATATTTAAAAATCCCCATTCCTTCTGTATTAATAACTTACCAGAAAGTTCTAATCAGCTCTCAGTTGTATAGTTTTTGTTTATCTTTTTTTCCTGGGCTAATCAAAGATGAGGGTATACTTTTTCCCTTGCTCTAACTAGAAAAACATAATTGAGAAAGGAATAGAGTGACGTCTTCTGCCCTTAACTACCAGTTTCCCAGTCACTGGTGGTCAGGAGTGCTCCACCACCCACCCACCTTCTCTGGACAAACACTAATGAACTGGTTTGTGTTTTCTACTTTGCATTTAATGATATGTATTGAAGATTCTTTGACATAATCAATGAATGAATGTCTTCAGTGTGTAGCTGCATGGTATTTCATTCTATTTTTAAATCATAATTTATTTAAATCTCAAGTGTTAAATGCATTGTTTTCATTATGTGATATTAAAACAGTATTTTAATGAATAATCTTATCTATAAATATTTTGCATACATGTGTGTTAAAATTCCCGATGGAATTTTGGGGTCAGGGATGTATGTATGTGCAATTTTGACAGGCACCCTCATGGCCCCCTTGGATGTATCTGTTGGCATAGCCCCTGCCATCTTGGTGACAGTCTGGCCTTTAGCGGAGGCTCTGTTCTGTGATGGGAGGTCAAATCTCTGCACTCATGAGTACAATGTGTTTGTTCCCTAAGTGTCCTCAGAGAAAGTGTCTTCCTGCCTCCTACTTCCTTCCTGAGGCAGTGGGCTATGTGTGTGTGTGTGTGTGTGTGTGTGTGTG